GTGCTATAAAAAATATCCCAGTGCCTGACATCTCGATTATTACGTAGTGTGACGCAAAATCTTAACGGAGCGACCACTTTTCAATCTTGTATACGAAATGCCAAGCACCGGCGTGGAACGAGTCGCCCGATTTTTCGACGATATATTCCAGTTTTGTGGGGCATATGTAGATGCCCATTGAGCGTGACAAGTTACCCGACTTTTCTGCAACGACCTGCATATGCGGGACGATAACAGAGAGAAGAGAAAGCAGAACGGTGGCTCGCTCACGTGCGCACGTGATGAAGGTATCAATTAACGAGTGGACTTTCCGTGCTCCGGAGAACTAAAAAACGGAACAATGTCGCACGTTCTGTCTTGTTAAGGAAGGAAACTTGCCGTTACCCGGCTAGAATTCATCATCATTTCATCCGCGAACGCAATCTGCAAGTCGGTCTCCCGCGACTCGGCTCCATACTTTGTAGCGCGAGTTTATTTTCGTCCACGGATGTACGGCTATAAACTTCGTTTAGATGGAAAGTTCGAATAAGCTTCGTTCAGATTAATCAGGTTGAATTCAAACAAACTGAGACCTCCTGACGTATTGATAATATACCATATATTGGGAGAGAAAGTATCTACGTTTACTTATTTTAAATTATCAATATCTTATAGGATAGGTATTTTCAATCAAATTTCTCAATACGTATCATTTGAAAAAATATAAATAGGAATAAAACAAAGAACTTTTTATCAAAAAATAAAAATGTATGCGTTAAACAATAATAGATTTCTAATTTTTTATGCGTCAGTGTACCAATTCATAAAACTCCTATTCAACATAATGTATCGCAATGACGAAAAATGACTAACAATAACGATACTGTTAAAGAATTAAAAAATTAGTTTACAATCTACAAATTACAAAATTAACATGTACTCGATGATTCAGTCTTTGAGAAACCAGTGTTTTTACTAGAATTCCTCGAACGACCCTGAAGACCGCTATCCACAGACAAGTTCTATGTTCTCGTCATTCGCCCATCCTTCTTTTTGCGTTAATAAGACAGTTAGTCGTCAACTATATGCGTGTTCGAATCTCCACAGAGAAAACACGTTTAGAAGCCAACGACCACTTACGATCAGCTGAGACTGGGTCAGATGTAAATTAAGACAAGACAGCTTAGACGGCACATTCTCCTCCTCGTCGATTCATTCTCCCTACGAATTGACTTCTGAACGATACTTCGTGAAATGGAGATCGAGCTTTTTAAAATAGCAGATTTCGCAATAGAATGTATTATACATACATTGCAGTATGACTCGTTATCGTAAGTACTTTTGTACATTCCTAATTACCATAAGTGAACGTTTCTCGCGTCCCAGAATGATTAACAAATGCAAGGTGATTTAAAAATACTCCGATTGTAGGAACGGTAATGTTTGTTAGCGACAGTATCTTGTAAAGACCTTTGAAGGCAATTAACCCGACGCTATTTTACTTCTGACCGAAAGGATGTGTATGAGACGGACTGTAAGTTACTCAAGTATTAAATGTCAATGGTCTGTTTATTCGAGATTTGGCTCGGGAAGGTTCTGACCATGAAATAAGGCAGCCGGGATGTCTTCCGCTCAGACGACTGTAAGAGACGATACAATACTCTCACAGTCTTTCATAGGATGCAATGTTAGTAGTATTTGTTTCTAACATGTAGAATATGTATAATAGTATAGCGATTTTAAGAATCGTTTTCTTTGAATCGTAGGAATTTTGCGTGGGAATATTACTAGTAATTCAAGAAGGACGATCGGAAGTAATTTTCTTGTTTGTTGTGCATACAAAACAGCGTGGAGGAAGTTAATTAAATGAAAATGTCGAAGATGGACGAGTATTAATTATCTAATGAAACGATATAGTAAATAGTTTTCAAGGATTCAATCAGCTTTCATTTTGAAATGTAACTTAGCAATTTTCCAACGATTTATCGGCTATCGCACTCATTCAACGAATAGTTTTCTTGTTACTCTAGACTCTGGAACACAATGTTTTACGTGGGAAGCGTTCAAAAGCCAACAACGTCGACCATTCACAATCAGCTGAGCGCAACGTTACGTGTAAATCAAGATTCGACCGCGCCTCGACATCGTTAATTTGCTTCTCGGTCGCTTTATATTGCAACGGGTTTGCAAAAGTCGGTCGTTGAAACCGGCGTTGCAGCATTGACCTCGGTCCTTGGCATTCGAGGCTGCACTCTCGATGCCGACGATTCGCGCCGCGGGTCATCGTGTTCGCAGACTTTTTAGTTCGTTTCTCGAGAATACGTTTCTGTTAAAGCGGACGCTATGATATGTAGCTGTTTAAAGAGCTCCGTTTCTTCAAACGACGAGCTTCAAACCTTTGTAATTAGAATTGTGATTGCTTATGGTAGTAAAGGAAAAGAGCTAGACAAAATGGAATAGAGTTTTATAATTTAATTAGAAATATGAGAATTAGTAATTGTTACACAAAAGTTGTTCACTTTCAATGTACTAAAGTATAGTGGTAAAATGAAAGAGAGAGAAATTTAACAAAATTGAAATAACGTAGACACATAGGTATGTACGTACATATGTGTGTAATTTCAAAGTCACGGCATCGTAGAACTCAAATGTTGGTAAACTTTGTGGTTTCGATACTGATTTTCTATTAATTCCGGAATTAACATTTTTTATTTTTCTTCTTCTTCTTTTAGAGGAACGAAGAATCACAAGCGATACTCGTCACCCATACGTCGACTAGCAATTTCAATCGCGAGCACTACATACGAGATCGTGCGGAATTCCATCGAAGGGCAATGGTGTCTGACTTTTCGGTACCAATAAATGTCACTTATAAAACTCGTTCTCCAGCCGGTCCACTAATACACTGACATGGCCAGTACCGCCTTTCCCGAAGCTCTTTAACTTTCTCGTCCTCGTAAAGTCGCGTTTCTTCCGAAAAAATATTTCCTGCGACAATCAGGAATAAGCAAACAGTCCACTTACACGAGAACTAGCTAACTAGTCGCAACGATATCTTTTTTCAACTCTCCGTGTTTCTTTTCTATTTTCTTTTTTTTTTTTTTTTACACGATGAAAAATACCGAGCAATAAATTTCCGACTCCGAATGTTTTATATAAATGCACCATTGCGATCGGAAAGCTTTACGACCAGTTTCTTTGCAAACAAAACTTATTCGAATCCTTATCGAGATGGTGGATCGAGGTCGTGTAAATTATTGCTGAGTAATACTAATTTTTTTAGAGCAATTAACATGTTGCAATGACGCGATTCGTCGCCGATGTTTAAACGCGATTAATAATATTGGTAAATTGAATCAAATTAGTTTATGAAGCCTAAATGACGTGATTTGTAGAGGTTTCATATATAAGTTCTGGGATAATGTGGTAAGTATATTTGGATAGTATAAAGCGAATGTTATACTCAACGATTATTCTTACTTGACAATTTCCAAAAAATTAACGTTAAAAAGGTAGTAATGAAAATATATTTTCAACTATTCACTCCTATAGATTAAAAACTTGCAAATAACTGAAATCTCTCGATTATACAAATTTTCAAACATCTAAAATCTAAGAACTGCCAATTATTCTTCTCGAATTATTCTTGATAGGCAAATCACGAACGGAAGTATTTCAGAGAAGATACTGCGCTCCATTAACGAAGAGAAGTTAAAAGAATTATTCCGTGATCGCTTGCAAATGTGACCGAGAACACTAGAGGCATGCAGTTTGTCCGGTATCGATGTGCAACCGCGACTCGGCTTGCGCAATCCATTAACACGTCACCTGACTTAACTTTATTCAACATTTTCTGTCGTTTTACGAATCTTCGTCCAGTTCTTGTGACGAACGATCTTCTGCATGCTAATGTTTTTAATATGCGGAAATGAAAATCTTCTCGAAAGCCGTTGACGAATTTCTAGAATTTTTTTTTCAGGAATAAAATCACTCGATTGTCAATAATTATGAAAACGAAAAATTTTGATCGATAATCCTTGAACGTACATATTCAAGCGACATTGTAGTTAATATCCGACGTATCATCGAAGGTAAAACAATCAAAGGATCGTCGAACAGAGAAATTTATTAATTCTTTATTACTTCTACCGAGAAACGTAATAATCGAAATAGACATAAAAATCGTGCCGATAAATCTGCATATCCTCTCTTGATTCTCTCTGTTGTTCTGCGTATCGTTTTTACTTGCCTATCCGCTTAGCAGCTTAGACTCAAAGGCTCATTATGTAACTTCCCGCGTGCCAGCTTATAAGGAAGTCAAGGATGTTTGAAAGTGTAGTCGTTACAATATACTCTTCCCTTGGCATTCTTTGCAATTTTATCCTCGATGCCCACTCTCCTTCTTGTCATCAATTGTTTGTCTTTTCTGACTGAAGGAGTGTCCTACGAACGGTGCGTTTCTTTATCGAATATTGTTCAGCGTTTGTGCATAGTCTATTCTTTCTGTTTTTCGATATTGCTTATCCCCTTCAACTGTGTGTTAAAAATTAAAATTTTGTGATAGCAGTTAAAGGGAAAGAGTATGGCACAAAGGTAGGTAATTGTTAAAGTGGTAAAGAGAAACAGTTGCGTATTTGCGAGAATTTATATTTTACCGTTCGAAAGTTGGTATTTATGAAATTCACGCTGAAGATAACAGTTGTACTTATAGCCTAGGATAATTATGATAATTATATAGAAGGCTTTAAATGGATGACTCATTCATTTCATAATGTGGCAATGTATTCGGTTTTTAATATATTGGTAACTGGTGGTACAAGCGGAAAGGGGGTGATTCTACGCGAAAAAAGAAGTCGAAAATATAGAATAAAAAAATTTTTTTTTTAAATTCTTCCATCGAGACAACGATCTACAGTGAGATCCGTTATAACGTACCGCACGCGTACCGAGCGAAAATTCAAAGTCGATTTTCTCGAAAACAAAGCGTCAAACGAAAAATTTTTATATACACATATATATATATATATATATATATACACATGCATAGTCGTTCATACTTGGTTGTTGGATAATACGGCGGTTAAGAGAATGGAAAAGAAAAATCTACATTTCTTAAAAAATGTCAATAATACTGAAAAAATATGCATAGACCTGCCGTCTATGCTGACGTAACATTTGAAGGATTGGAAACGATAATTTAAGTATTATCGAGTTTAAAGAGTGGTACGAGTATCTTTAGAACTGAACAAATTTAAAACAATTGTTACGACACATACCTACTGTATCTCCAGTTTCTTCGTAACTTATATTTAAAGACTGTTGTTTTTTTTCAATAATTCTTTTTCAATAATTTTTTCAATAATTTCCTGAATTAATTTGTATATTATGCTATCAACCTTTTGAATGATTTAACAAATCTTCAATGTATAATTTTTGAATTATGATTTCATAATTTCTACATTCACGATTTTGGAAACCATTTGTGCCAGTTGTTGCTTCATATCGTCTTAAGGTACCATAAATTTGAAATATTGCAGAAGTATGCCAGTGCATTTCAAACGCCTTCGCAAATAAATCGTGTCATCATAGTAAAGGGTTCATTGAAGAAATTCTTCATATCGCTGTAGTATAAATTATATGATATGAACAATGTCGATATAATATAAACTGCACCGTTATTTTTCTTTCATTATAATTTATTATCTTCGCATAAATAGTTGGTTGAAGGTAAAACAAGCCTCTATTCACAATACAGATATTTCTTTGTTTGTGTTCATAAAAATATGAATTTGCATAAACATCAGCAGTCTATAATAATACATTATTATATAATAAATTATTTTAAAAATAACGCGTTACAAATATAAACGATACATATCATATAACTATGAACCTAAAACGTTACTCACAATCGGGTAAAGTACTTCCTTGCTTTCTATATAATTGACTAAACATCGATGGCAGTATACGGACAATGTGTTGTTTAATTACTCCTGGCTGAGAATGATATTTCCTGATGATGAGTCATCCGACGTTAGTAAAGTTCTGAGAGCTGATTAACTGTAATAAATCATCTCACGTTGCGTCGTAATTCGATGCTCTTCGTCTTTACATAGATACGTACGATAGTAGTCAGTCAATGTTTGCTCATGATAATATGTCCATATTCGCGATTCTCTTTTACCTATGCGAAATAAGCTTTATATCGTACGAAAAGTAGCTAACTTATTTGCCATTTTCCTTGAATCAACATCGTGTAGAATGTAGAATACTTCGTTAGTAGAAACAATGCTGCATGAGATACTCCATGTGTTTTCAATCTGTCATAAGGAGTTAATAATTCTAATGATAGTACATTAACTTTACCACTCAATCTGGTGTATAATATCTTAAGTCCTAAATCTTTTCTGTTAATACGTATATTTATAGATACATTCGTTATCCTTCGTAAATTTCTCATTCTCTGCTTATTTATCATCCATCTTCTGCTATCTCAATCTGCCATCTATCTATACGCGCACGTATCTGCAACGTATATCATCCGCAGAATGTTTTAATAAGAAGATTTAATAATCATCTGCATTGGTGAATTCATGCACTGCTCGTTTTACGACCTTGGTACGTTGCCTTTGTTATACCTCATCGTTTAAAGATACGGCGCGTTTGCAATAATAATATGTAGGCATACCTATATGACGCATCGCTCGTCGTTCGTTTGACGACTAACAGGACACGCTGCACAGAAATTAAACAAAACGTAAAACGACCAAAGCGTTACGCGAGATCGGATCTCCTACAATTTATTTAATATGCCATTGTATTAATTTTCGCAAGGTTCATGATTAATTAAGAAATAATTCGAGGCAATTCATAAGAATTATTCATAAATGATAGATTAATAACAATCGTGTGTTCGATTTTATGTTTCATGGATGGAATTGACTCGTTTGCGACTAAACGTTGGGATTTAATCTTTAAATTTTGTTTGTATTAAGCGCGCAATTAATGTTAATTGTATGCAAAATTGAGGAATGGGTTTACAGATAATACAAGTGCATTTCACATTATTTATGTAGAGTATTGAACTGTGTGAAAATGAATTTATTATTACAAGATAATATAGTATATTCTCTAGGAATTTGTTGATTATTGTAACGTATTAGTAAGTATAGTATTGTAATAATCTCTAAGAATCGAAAATCTTTCACAGAAACTTTGTAAGAAAGAAATAAAAATGGTAAAATTTTGAAATTGTATCTACTCTGAGTTAAAGATTGACTAAGGTATGCCGTCCATTTTGAAATATGAAAAGAAAAAAAATGAGGAAAACGCGCAAAGAGCTTTAAAACTGTATATTTTTTCTACAGTACCGTTACGAGTAGCTCGAAATATCAGAAAATAAATCAACGGAACAATGAACGCGTACAGAGGCGAATCGAATCGATGCCTCGCTTGCTGATATTCTTCGTTGAGACTCTGTTCTAACATTATGGCCATTGTTGTGATTATTTTACGCGCGTGAAAAGACCATTTTTTATCAATCCAGTGACGCTTGGTTTTGACGCGATTATTAAGCATTAAACTTCGGTTCTCCCTTTTGATTAATGCTACTTCAATAAATATCAATATCAGAAAGCAAACCCTTGGCAATTATATTCCCATAGATAATCTTATAATTCGCGAAAATTAGCGAATATTCGTTAAATCACGCGTGAAACTGGCATAACGTGATAAAACGACTCTGTTTAGCCTTCAAAATCGTTCAGCAAGATTGACGTGGCGTCCTCGCGACAGTCCCATTTGGAACTATAGTAGTACCAATAGCATATTCAGTTAGTAACTTGTGAAGCGGCTCTGAAACGGTACTACCTCATGGCTAGACGTGCGCGAAATGAGAACTGGTTGGGTATTAATTAACCATACTATAATTAACACGATGCCTACGTGGCATTTTTAATCCTTTTGCTTTTATTTTTGGCTTCGGATCCTTGTGAAGAGAATAGAAACATGCAATTCATTCCGAGAAAGTATTCGAAAGCATTGGTATGTAATTTAATGGAACAGGATGTGTGAGTTAGAGCGATTAGATTTTGTCATATTCGACGCCCGATTGTTGGTGAGAAGAAAACTATAGATATTTGTCCATTCATTATTTTTCTGGAAGAGATACAGCGAGGCAAACATGTGCTGGAGTCATTGACCAATGGTACCAAAATCTTCTCGGAATGCGAAGAAGTATTTCTTCGTCTCTGGCATTTGAACCATTAAGCATTTATTTAGACTCTTTAATTAAACGAATCGAATGAAACGAAAAACAAAAAATTTGTTTCTAGTATGTATTCGAAAACTAAAATGCCCAATTTTATTACACGAGTATTCCTTTAAACGCAAACAAAATTATTCAATAGCTTATAACGTCCAAACATCGGTTTGTTCGGTTCAATGTATATAGTAGTACCAATTCGACAATCAGCATTAAAATTTCACTTGTTAAATTGTTAAAATTTCACGAAACAATAATTACAATTTTAAGTAATCGGTCACGCGCTCGAGCGAAATCGATTTCTACGGGGCAAACAGGAACAAAGCAAGATGTTTGTTCACTGTGTAGTTAATTAACTGTGAGGTTATTCGCGAGTTTCAGTACGTGATAATAATCAGTATATTGTCGATAACAATTGGATCAAAAATTCATTTATTGCTGACGATAAGTTTGTTCAAAATTGTTTTATTAATTCATGTTAAGTACACAAACATTTTTTAATTGATAATTTTGAAATTTTCGATGTTCAATTCTTATAGAAAGCATTATCGAATGCATGCAAAAGTAATACGTTATATAAATTTGACGTATAAGAAGCTTAGTTTTATCGTTCCAATAATCATTACGTTCCGTTCCTTTAATTAACATACATTCTATATCTCCAAGCAAAATTATTACGTCTGCTGCGTCTTATTACCTCTTAATTGCTATACGTAGAATTTTTTGTATCATATAAGATTAAGACCTTTATACCGTAGCCTCAAGTAGTGCATTTGTGGAAGAGTTTACAGCAATATCTAAATGGTATTGAGTTTACCTTGACTCGGACAATTGTGCCTGTGACTGATCTGTGGCCTAGATTACGTAAATTCCGAACACCATAAGCAAACGTAATACCTTAATTAGTTCTAACGTGATATCATTGATAAAGTATGGTCGATTTCTTAATCCCAAGTAATTAAGATTATCATTAAGATGGCATTACAGTAGAAAAGTGGTTCTTAATTCTTTTATCTAAAAAATTTCGATATATTTTTCATACAAATAGAAATTCAAGATGATAAAGTCAGTATGAGGAAAGCAATGAACAAATTCATTGCAAATAAATGAGCAAATGAACAATGCCACGACGAAAGCTTGTGGATAATTATACATACTTGTTAATGAAAACCAATAACTTCTACCAGCTCGTTAATGGATGACCAGACTGAATTTTCTAGCATTAAACGGACAAACGAATTATCCTTTCGAGTTAGATATACGTTATAGCAGTTACAAGCTCGAGAGTGGCTACGTTTATGGCTTTATTTCAGAGCAGAGTATTACCATTTAACTGCATCTGTTTGCAAGTAATTACCATTTATCTAGTGGAAGAGTAGCGTGTTAACGATTATTTTACGTCATTAACCTTTTCTCTACTAGACTAATGTCTTAACGACCTATGGATTAATTTTTAACAGTGGATCGAGGAGAAATTTCTTCTGGAAACGAGTTACGGATATACACGTATGCATAGAACTCTTTCTTGATAGTAATTTAGCGTGCATCAAACTACGACGCGAGGTTAATCACATTGTTTGGAAATGTTTAAGAGAAATTTTTTACCCATTTACCGAGCAATTTTAGGATAAAAATACGCGTTTAACATTTAACATTTTAAAATTAGGATTACGTTAAATGTTTAAGTTGCCTCGAAACATTTTAACATTTTGATTAAAAAACACGCGGATACCTGGAACAGAATAAGGTGTATTTTGTGGTTGTGGTGCCCAGTAAGCTTGACTGATCGCTGGATAATGACTTTTCGATCCAAGGCTGGGCCCAGAATACTGCTTTCTGCTCTTCATTGCCATCGTCGCCTTTTCCTCCACGTGCACCGTGTGCGGGAAATTCGAAATGAGTCGTGCACGCAATCTCGATGCTAACTCGCTTTTCAACAAACTCAGACTTCACGAATATTAAACTCCACAAATATCACTGTATAAACATTCACCAAGGACGACAAAACAAAACAGTCAACGCTTCGCGATGATAATATTTTGTTTTCCAGTCTACACGATACTTATTTCGGCATGCCGACAGGTGATTTCGAACGAAACTTCTGTACAAATGAAATTATATACGGCTGTTAATCGATAGAAGAATAATTCATGCAGCAGCGATTTACCATTTATTTTCAATAGATTTACGTTTTTATGCAGATCGTTACGCGTTCCGACGCAACACGTGTCTTGTGTCCAATGTTCCGATTATTTCCCGCAAACGGATCTCGCTCTTACATAACCACACCAACGATGCTCATGAAACGTGGAACAATCGTGACAACAACGATCGTCGATAGCAACGGTGCGAGGCTTGTTTCTGACACCGTCGACGTATCGACTTGTCCGATCGGCTTGATCGCCAATCAAAATAAAACGGCCTCTGTCCGCCAACCGAAACAACGCTTCTTCCATCGATTCTAGCAGAATTTACTGTAACGATCGATTATCCATGGCCCCGATGTATACATTTGGATTTAATGTTGGCCGATTACGTGCATTTCAGTCTGAAACAAATACGTCGGAATAATGGTGGTGGACAAGCTGTCGGCGCGATGATACTCTGACTCGAGTACTCGAAAATAGATGCTGTCTGCCGTTCCAGGAACTTTTGCTTGGCGTGCCTGTGACCGATGATGATAAGGCACGCGACTCGCGACAACGATCCTTCTGTATCGTGTAATTCACCTTTCTACGTAAAACTTTTTGTCGCTAATCAGAATTATAACAGCGGTTCACTAACTGACTACAATTCGCTTATTTGGCCAGTTATCAAGGAAGATGTATTTCTAGAAATTCTCTCTTCTCCGTTGAGCATGAGCGAGACACGGATACGTGACACATTTGTTTATTTTATTGCGTTATTCGTGACGAAATCGAAGAAAAATTTCCAGGTAACATAGTAAGTTGATATGATTTTGTTTTTCCAAATAATCGACGATAAGATAAAATATAGTCCATGGTATTGGTTCGTCAAATTCAAACTTCGGAACAACCACGTTTCATACGTATCGACATTGACCTATTGTTAAAAACCCACTTCACAAAAACAGTTTCAAGAACCGATACGATAACGACGGCCATTTAACGAAGCAAAATCTTAGCCAGTTAACGCGACATTACCTATCGACGGCACTATCGATTAATCGAATCACCATCACAAGAAACAACGTCCAATAGCAACGCGAGCTTTTACGATTTCACCCGCGCACACGATCGTCGGAAATGTCGAATACGCGCACGCCTATCCTCGCGTGCAACTTGTGTGTTCACGAGCGAGTGCACGTTGCATATATATGTGTGTGCGTGTGTGTATCGCGCACGAGAAAACACGCGACCGTTGTCTCTACCGGTGCCGTATAAACGAACGGTAGGACTCAGTTCGTCGCTCGACACTCAACAAGTGAGAGAACCGGCGTTCGCCTCAAGCTTCCACTGCCACTCGTCACTTCGTACTTCTTCGTGCGCTCACGACTGTTTTATTCACCTCCCCTGACACCTCTCGTCCACAAACGTCCCTTCTCCTCTTTTCGCACGAGTTCGTCCTATCCTTGTCGCTCTCAATCTCCTCTTCCTACCTTTGCGTCTTCGCACCTCCTTCTTTCGTCTTACCGCCGTTTAACCCTATCCCTACCCATTCTTCCTGGTTTCAAGCATCAGCGCATCAAACGTTCAATTTCCGCTTCTGAGCTTTACGCGAGCGTGCAAGTCGAATATTTAATTTCCTCTTTAATTTTGAATAATTTCACTGGCAGGTATAAAAAACTTTATTGAATAATGTATCGTCTACTTTTTTTTCTTTAATAATCTTTTGCCATCTTCCAAGCATCATCCAAGTTTCATTATTCCCCTTTTAAAAAGCTTTGCTTTCGTATAAAACGATAAAAATACCACAATCAAGAAGAAACGAATAAACTTCCTAGTCAGTCGTATACGTATATAAATGATGAAGTATTAATTTTGTCTTCGTTAAAAAAAAAGAAGGTTTCGCTTATGGATATAGATACGATAGCCATGACATATGTCATCCGATATAATAGCTATACATGTAATATAAACCTAATTATCAAATTATACCATTTAATAGATAAATATCGTAACACCACTTAACAAGTCTTAACTGCATTTTTCTTTTTTTAAATATTTCAATATGGTATTTAACGACGTAATCAATATTAAAATCAGATTTCTTTGGATTTAGTTGTCGTTATTATTTTATTAAGAAGTAGTCCTTGAAAAAAAAAGAAAAGAAAAAGAAAAAGAAGACTAGGTATTTGTTTTCTTCTTTTTTACTTCAATTCTTATGATAATTCTATTCTAATTCTATTCTAATTCTATTCTAATTCTATTCCAATTCTATTATAATTTTCATTGGAAAATTGCGAAGTTTCTTTGCAACAGGTAAGGTTGTTTTAATAATTAAAATAATGCCAATGCAGAATATACACACTGTACATTAAATCCTTTTTGTATTTTCAAGTTATACAATAAAATACGGAGTATATAGAATGATATTGTATCACTTCTTTAAAGGTATAGAACCAATAGCATTACCCGTACTAATAAATTACAAATTTCACGTGAATATCTAGAAGCTTCTTATCGTTAGACATGTGTCGTGGCAAATAAAAAATGGCAAGGAATTTTACGTCTTTTATGCTTACAAGATAATATTGCTCATGAAATAGGATTAACATGCTTCGATTATCAATGCAATTGTTCTAGATTCCTGTTAATATTGCCAGCAAAAAAAAGACCAGTGTCAATCCTTATGCTTTTCCTTCAAACCTTTTTGCTTGTCCTAACATATTATCCTACTCTCATAATGCAGTAAATTCACTTATTTATAAAATTAAAAATAACCACAATCAAATAAATTTTACGGCGAACGATTTGCTTTGACGCATTCCATTCACGTACCTTTAACGTTGTTTTGGCTGCCCTTCCTTCCCCTTCTCTTCCGCCACGATTTACGAGATTAGATCATATCGTGTTCTAACTTAATATGCTCCCCGTATTAAGATCACACACCATCATCCGGAGAAAACAGAGCAACCGATTGCGAGCCAACAGAAAATCGTACGACCGGCCAGAGGCTCGCACACGGCACATGTGACCTGCTTCGAGCGTAAAACATTAAAACACAAGTTGGATTCTCTTCGACCAGGAAAAAAGAGGAGGCCTCTTCAGTTTAGGTTACACATAAGCGTAGAACGACGAGATACAGTACCAACTGATTGTCATCGCAAGACACACATTGATCGCAGAATATTGTGCCACAGTACGAACTCGAAGTAGCATGCTGTGCGTTACAAAACTCAATTTCTGTTTCAGTTGTTTTGGACGTAGTTTTGAACTTCGGCGTTCTATAGCTATAGAATATGGCTCTGTTTTAGTAACAGTGTTATTACGTGTGTGATATAATAATATATCACAGTAGCCATTGTAACTAAGCACGGCAGCTAAATCTGGGATCTGAAACTGATTCAGATATAACAGAAACAATTGTGTACGTATATCGTCCGCCTAAATTCAAATATAAAATAGATATAAAAGTTACGACATTTTAATAACAAACAAGAACCTGTTATCACGAGAAAGAAAAAAGAATTTTCATTAACACACAAGCATGCCGAATAATGTAAATACAAATGCAACAATGTGATACCATTTAATTTAAAGCTTATAAAAAGGTTCTCAAAACATTCGTGCTGCTGATATGAAATAGCCAGTGATAACATCAGTGACACGGCTTGTATCCGGTGTATGTCACGTTACTGGAATCTGACGAATTACAGGAACGTGCAATCACGATCCTACCGTGTTCTCATCTTCTCTTTATCCCATGCACGAACTTCCTGTTTTCATTGGTCCAGATTTTTGGCTGCAGCGCAAACACAGAATGCGGAAAAATAAAAACTCCTGCTGCACAACAATGCGTTTGCATTGTTTCACGCTCGTTACGCGCTTTCCAACAATCGTGACATAAATTTGGGATTATTGCTTTACTTTTTAACTGGTGAAGCGAAAGGCTCGTTACTGCCAGTGATAATCTGGCTTATGGAAAAAATAGATAGAATCGCGTTCGGTAAAATTGAATTGTATGTAGTGAGATAAAAGAAAGGGTAGGAAATGTTAAATTAAATAGTTGAAAGAAAGCTGTGTTTATACAATAACTGCCTTCACTTCTTCGAAGGAAAATGCTATTATTCGTCTGTTTCATTTTTATTTAATTAATAGGTGTATCGTTAGAAGATAACATTCGATAGATCTATAGTTTTTAATTGTAAAAAGTATTGCGACCTTTTCTCAGAGAATACTTCCGCAAAAGAGGTTCCCTTCGTTGCATCCTCCAAAGATGAGTAATTCTATTTTGACACTTGCAATTGAGTTAGAATGGTAGGCTTCAACGTTGATGAATGGTAATTGATATTTGTGGTACGAGCGACACTAACCCGGCATGGAAAATACGTAAACGGACACGAGGGCCAGAAATATAATTGCGCTTATTTACGAGAAAGATTCGGTGCCAACAGTCACCGAGTTGATGAATTACAGTTGGTTATCATTTCAACGTGGACACACCGGACATTTAGACCGAGTGGTTGATGAAAACCTAAAAGAAATTTTTATTTGAAAAATTTCAATGAGCGAATAACATACAATGTATGAACGTAATATACATATATGGTATATTCTGTAATTTTTAAAAGTTATATCCTTTATATGGTATTACGTAATATGTAGGACAAAAGATTAAGAATTCTATAGCGCGGAAAAATATCTACAAAAATTTTAAAGA